AACTGAAGACCTGGAGTAGTACGATCAAGGCGGATTTGGAATTACTGGGCATCCAATCCGTATATGGAATTCGTAACTGGAACCAGAATTGGGTTTCTCACCGCGTCAACCTTGCTAGTGATCGTCATGCATGGGCCGCCATCATTAGAGACATCCAAAAAGCCGACCTATCCTCCCGCAGGAGTTAGTCGATCAAAAATAAAATTAGGTTAATGGGCAAACACTCATTAAAGGCAGGCGTTGAATAAATATAGGTTGTGAGCAGGAAGGGATAGAGAATAGCACCTTGAGTAGAGTTTAAAGGCGAACAGTTGCGCTCCGACTGAATACTCTTCTCAATGAATGTGTGAAGAAGTTTGGGCCTATCTACACGATTAAAGGCGTCAATATAATGAAAGAAACAGCCGAACAGCTTTACATTTTCTGTCCAAGGCAGAAGAAGCTTAATGATTGAAGGATGCCAACGCATCGGCGGTTGACCTGGTACTGCGATAGTCACTTTGAGTGAGAGCAGATGCATTCAGCTGGCACGACATATTCGGTAGTAAAATCTTTTCCAGGCTTTCAAACCAACAGACGTGCCAGCAATTGGGCGAAATTTGGACGGTCTTTGTTGGGTACTGGCGTGATAGAAGCCACTATCCCGCAGTCCGGAATGCGATGTTGAGGAAAACAGGTTGAGCAGGTCGGTGAAAACAGGGGAAAGGGAAACTGCACGTTCTTTGAGCACAACAGGTAGCAGTCCATCAAGACTGCATACTTTATTAGACTTCAGACTGATGACAGTTTCGAATAATTCTGTTTAATCAGTAATTAGATTAACAACATTCAGAGCAGGGACGAGTGCTGTGAATGGAATAGGGGTGTCGGTTTCAGCATTACTGAATTGGAGATTGAGATTGTCCACGATGACAGCTGGCAGATTCTCATTCGTTTTGAGATCGCACAACTGAGACAAAATTTTCCATGTATCGTGAAAATTCCTGTTGACCAACAATGCATGTACATACATAAGCGTCGTTTATTCTCTGCAGTTCCGCCTGGATTGCTTTCGAGTTGTCTCTCATCAAAGAGTACTCTTTCGCTTTGAAAGATTGTTCTTTCTTCCGACGCAATCGTTTAAGTGTAGGGGGCGAAAAACGGTCTGACCGTACGTATAAAGTTTCCCACGGGCAGCACGTCTCATAACAGAACTTCAAATGTTCAGTCACGTTATCACAAATTATAGAGGGATCATTATGTACAAATAGCGAGAAATCCGCCTGATCTAATATATCTCTTAGTCTGGCTAGGTTTGCCGTTTGGCATTGACGCCGACGAAGACGACGATCACAATATCGAGTGTAGAACCAATGGATGGATCTACTGTAGATCGTGGGAGATAGTTTCAGTGTTGCATGATCTGAGGTGTCAATAGGGGAACGGCTGCACAGGTTAAATAAATTCAGGTCGTTAACGAAGCACGGTTCAAGACGAGCCTCGAGTCTGGTAGGAAAGTTAACAACCTTCTGTAGTCCAAGGGTAGTCAGAAACGTTACATCAAACCTATTGAAGTCACCAAACACGATGCAAAGGAAGGAGTCTACGTAATTTAGTAAAGCGGCGGAGAAAATATCTGTGAACTCATTAAAATGATCAGTGGAACAAGGAGAAATGCAAACGTCACCAAAAATAATATTCCGGTAGTTACTGAAGTGTTTAGATCTACAGTTGTACAGAGAAGTACTGATAAGAATAGTAGAATACACAAAAACTCGTTTGCCCGATTTGCACCAATCGTCATTTATGTGTTTAATAACAGCACCGAGTCGTTTGTGAACCGGAACGGGTCGGTCAATTCGGTAGATGGAAAAATTATCGATTTTGGCAACTTTATGATCAATTTCATTGTAGAGCTAACTCTCCTGGAGCATCGCGAGTCCAACCTTTCAATATTCAAGTCTCCTTGTGAGATCTATTACGTCTGCCATTTTCCCAAGCGGGGAGCGCACATTTTCATTGATGACTTTTGGAATGCAGATGTCTGAGACTGAGCGTTTGCGTATTGCCACATGCCATCCAGCCCGATGTTTTCTGGGACATTTTTTCTGAGATTTCCGCAAATTTTTCTTTCTGTGACGAACCGATTTGCCGAAAGAAAGTAAAACTCAGTGACCGGAAATTTGAAGTTGCTTCACCTAGGCAGCAAAGTTTTTGACAGAATTTAGGATGACCATAGTCACAGCGTTCCAATGCTAACAAACGATGTTTGCAGATCAAATCCAATGAAGAGTGATTATGTAGTTCCGAGTCCCACGACGTAAATGACCGCGCGATCGAATTACAAAGCCCCGCCGCAATTCTTTTTTGTAGTCCCAGCCGCACACTAACCGGGGAAGTAATAGAGCAGGTGGATAAGTTTTGTTACTTGGGCAGCTGTATCTCATCTGGTGGACGCATCACTGATGAAGTGTCAGCTGGCATACAGACGGCTCGATTGGCATGTGCTAACTTGAGACACCTGTGGCGCCGTCGCGACACCCGGCTGTCTGTGAAGGGTCGAGCATATGTTGTAGTAGTTCTGCCAGTTCTGATATATGGAGCAGAATCTTGTCCGTCAATAAAGTAGGATAAAGATAGACCGTCGGTGTTCGAACATCGCTGTCTACGCAGCAATGCACAAATCTGGTGGGGTAACCGGACGGGCAATGCTGAGGTTAGGCGCACAGTTTTAGGCAAATGCGGTCGCCCACTGGAGCAAGTGGTCGACCTACATAGGTTGCATTATTTGGGGCATGTGTCACCAGATAGGTTGCCACGGCGAGCGATGTTTGCGGAGGCAGGCAGTGGTTGGAACAAAGTCTAGGATGATTAAAATAAGACCTCACACGGGGGTATGAAATCCCTAGCCAGGGGACCGGGTCACATAGGTTCCGTGGGGCTCCCTAGCTGGGGACCTCGGGATGATTGTAACCGATGATCAGACACACTGAGTGATATGGCTGGGTGTTGCAAATTGTGGCGCTCGTGCATCTTCTCAATTTCTTTGCAAGCTTATACCACTGAAATTGTCCATTTTCTATTCGACTCTACTTTCAACCGTTCCTGTCTTTCTCCTTATGTTCATGCAAACGGGCAGCCGAGTGACAGCAACTCATTTCGGCCAACGATAGTGCCTGGTTAACGATTATACCAACTGAACTGAACTGAAGTCAATAAGACAGTGGTAAATAAATACTAATATGACAACAATATAATGATACCGGTTACCTTATCCGGTTTCGCTAGGACGACCTGGAGGTCGATTTGCAAAACGTTTGTGCATAGTTATCAGACTTGTGTCCCTCATCTCAGTGCGAAGTGGAACAAATTACGTCTACTCTGGTGATTACTTGTTATCAATAACAGAGTGCCAAATCATTGGCTAATAGATTAGTAACGGAACAATATATTAAGAAACCAAGAGAGAGAGAGAGCGAGAATTACAAGGAGACTCGGAAGTCATCGTAAGGAAACCAAGTAAGGGGTGCGGGATTGTTATAGTTAAAATGTCGGACCACATCCAGGAGATGAGAGCAATGAATCGAAATTCACAAAATTTTATCCCGATAAACCGACAAGACATTCCAAACACAGTGCCATTGGTATATCGTCTGAAAATCATACATCATCTAATTGTGCACTTCATCACAATTGTTCACACCGGTTTGGTCACGAATACCGCCGTGAATAGAGGACTCATTGCTACCTTATCCCACTGGTGCAAAAATTACATCGTTTAGGTAAAACAAGACGTTTTCTGCCAGTCTTCATCATCATCGTACAGCGAAATACAGTGAAGTGAACCCATCGCCGCCAAACTCCTACTGCGTACAAGATTAGTGGTACAATTTAAGGAGTACAGGGATTGAACCTAATTTGAGAGGGGGAAGAAGGTGAATTTCTATGGTCAACACAGAATGCACGATCGGATTCTTCATACATACCACTTCGTGCATTCTGAGCTGATAAGAAACGACGACAAGAACGCCACTGCTGTCGGTCATATATTTATAAATTTTCACACACCTCTGACACCAGACTGTGTGCCAAATAAATCATGGTACTATGATCTCTATGAAAAAAGAAAAACGTTCCATGGTTTGCATGTCGGTGCAATGCTACCAGGTGGCGCAGACCAAGGCAGGTGAATTTTCTTGGGGAATCCTCAACCGGAGCCTTCGACTAGCCAAAGCCTGATCCGCAAGGCAGCGGGACGGTGTGTGAAAACCGCAGTTCATTGGGGGCCGGTGTCCAGTCCGTCGGATCATACGCCTTTCGGACGGGGTCAAACGCCCAATGTGTACAATCGAGCCGGTGACCACTGCAACAATAATGAAGTTGTGTGTTTCGTCCGCCTCCGCATGGTTGATTTGGAATCAGGGTTTTTGGCTAACTCCCCTAGGTAAACTACTAGTGGTCCACCAACCCGATTATAACTCCGGATGTCGGCTTTTCGTCCTCTCAGTTTGGTGGGAAGACACCTCCGCCACGAAGAAGGCAGTGAGTAGGGCCTCCTCAGCAGAGGTTATTCGAGACGGTTTGTCGCATGAGAACACTTGGCGAGGTGCAAGGGAAGGATGAAAAGCTGCAACCCTAGACACCCACCTCCGACCACACTGAGGTCTCCTACCCAGTGGCTCTGTGCATTTCTTCATGCTTTGTCTCCTCGTTATCTGTTGACCTCCACGTGGTATACCAGAGAACTTTGTGATCAATCTCAACAAAGTCACCGAAACGCGTTTGTAATCTGCTATGAAGCCCATTTTCATTCCGTTGGTTTTGAGGATCAAGTTTGATGTCAGGCTTGGGAGTGCTCACGAATAACTGAGCACGATGTTGTTCGTCGTGTGTTATTCTCCTGGTGTAATAACTACTCAACAGGAATTGCAATTTAACGGTTGTTATTTTCATTGGTAATTAGGCTTAACAACTATTCAATGGTTTCTGTGAAATAAACACCAATAAAAGGTGAACTTGAACATTCTCTCCAAATGGCCTCTGTCGAACCGAATGAGTCCTGCAATGCACGGGTTACAAACGTGACTTTCACTGACTCACAGATAGTTACCAGCCATTTCGAGACGACATGATATGGTGCTGTGTACAGTTTCAAACATGAGACGCACACACACACACACAAGTGGATAATCACAAAGTATAAGCCCGTCGGAGGGTATACAGTATATCCAGTTCAGTGTAACGTAAAAAACAATATGGTACACACTCCAAGCAGTGATTGGCTGAGGACACAAATTAGATACCAACGAATGGCTTACACCAAAGGGAACTTACACACGGATACGAGGTAGATTCCAACATTACACAACTAGTACCTTCGTGATCACGATATTCCGCTAGTCCCAGTTCACGATCAAAACACAGTATAGTACGATACAAACACTGATAGCTTTCTCTGAGCTTCCAGACACGATAGATAACACAGGCGGTTGACAGCCGGATGTGTACTTGTTGCAAAAAGCAAGTGAAATGTACAGCCCCAACTTGTCTGCTTTTCGGCTGTTTCATGTCCCTGAGCATGCAGACCTTGATCATTGACACTGGCACAATATCCGATGAGAACATAATAGGGTCCCGTTGTTGTATGGAGTTTGGGATTCGGACCTGAGACAGAGTTAATTTTCTTGCCAAGGCCATGCCCGGCGTCTAAAAGTCCTTCCAGCATCTCTATTTCTGTTCAAACACTTCCTATTTGCATGTATTTTACCCTAATATCTCTACGTATCTCCCGCCGTATGTCTGATTATATTTGAGAAATGACTTCAAGTTGATTTCTCAGGACTTCCCCAGAAATTGAGCAAAATTCAGNCCCCCCCCCCCCTCGAAACTGCGGTGGTTGCGCAAAATACCAACACTATAGCGAACCACAGAAAAGATCAACTCACTGGTCACAATTATCTACCGTTCGGCTTTGTAAATCGTCAATCCTAATCCTTTAAACTTGGGCTGCTACCAGGATGAGGTAAAATTCAGGATACTGTTTGTCAGAGCACATCAGCAACCGGAACAACGCTGCAACCAAGCAAATCAAGGGAATCTATTCGGAACATACAAAGTCTGAATTAGGAAAGCTGAAATGTCAAAAATAGAAATGAAGTTCACATAAAACGGAATCCGATGACTGGCTTTTGGTACACAAAATTTGACTACTAGTCATAGCCGGATGATAAATATACGAATGAGAAAATCACTCGTGATCTGTCAAGGTCAACCAGACTGTTAAGTCCATTCGTTCTATCCCCGTTTCTGATCGCAAAAACCGGTACTTCATTACATCTCTTAATTAAACAGCGGAAATGTTTTATGCAGGAATACGAGCTACTATAATAATTCGAAAAATTAATGTCTTTTACTTCCTTTTTTATTTATTGAATATACAGTCAACTTTCAGGAAGGGGGCTGCGGCCATACAAAAGCTGCCTGGGGAAATGCAGAAATAGAGAAGACGGGCGGCAGTGAAGCGGTTCGAACCCGGGACCTCCGGGTAACAATTTAGTGACCTAACCACTTGAGCATCATCGCCCAATTCTACTAGTAAACTATATCACCTAGAGCTGTTTCCTGGGTCCATTCCGACAGAAACGTCCATGGAACCCAGTTATACTATTTGGTAATTTATTGCCACCGCCTGGGTGTTTGCTATTCCTTGAAAGGAGTTAACTGGAAATTGAACGTCGATTGTTCATCACACTTCTTTCAACTGCGATGGTGCTTTACGAGTCAGCTCAGGGGACAATTTTGTAAATACTAACTAAGATTCACATTTTTATTGAACGAATTCATATTGCTTCCTTCCGTCAGGTTCTTAATCACTCACATTTTGTGCATGTGAGGTTTAGCGCCACGAACTTTGAGACAATAGGCAGATAGACCGTCACAACTGTCTCAGCCGGGGTTACTTTTTCCACGCATCTACCTTCAACAACTGTTCCTTCTCAGCTAGTATCTGTGTCACTTTGCTTTCCAATTCGCCGTAGTCTGGAACAAATTCGAGTTTACCTCCGTCCCGCACGAACTCATTTTTATGCTCTAACCGGTTTATTCTGCGGGCT